GGCGATAGAGAGTAAGTGGTCACTGCAGTGTCTTTTCCCTTCAAAAGATCCAACTGCTGCTGAGGTAGAAATCGAATGTTGGCGCCCTCTAGTCCTCTTCTGCAGACTCTTGTGAGGATGTCTCTTCAGTCTCCTCCTGGAACACACAAGGGCACGGCCATTAATTACACCGCGGGCCTTCTCACCAGGTGCTCAGGGACGGGTTTCCACAGCACATATACTTGCTTCAAAAGAGGATGGGAATGCTTGGCAAGCCTCCCTCTCCCAGGCCTTCTTAAACTGTAATTGAGGAATCAAGCTGGTGTTTTTCCCCCAGAGCCACTGTTGACTTAAGGATTGACATCAAGGTGGCTGGTCAACAAATGTAATTCTTTGCAGTCCAGAGACCCTTAGGCCAGTGCAGGCTTACGCACCAATTAGGGGGAGTATAAAAGAAAAGAGTATATTCTTCCCAACAGCATTCTAGTCATCAGTTTAAAAAAAAAAGTGTACAAATAAGGAAAGAAAAATTAATGAGAGCATTTTTGCAGGCAGAAATAAACCCATCTTCCAGATACCAGTGATACCAGTTGATACATTTTCGGTGCCTTTAGGGACTGGCTTTTATTATTCCCACTTTACAGATGGGAAAATCAGGGACAGCAAGGAATGTATCTGGCGGTTACAGGGGCTGCAAGCGCTGGGTGGAGCCAGAGGGGTGCCAGAACCTGTGTGTGACTGTGACTGTGCCATGGGGTGGTAGGGTGAGCGCAAGAGCAGACACTGAGAAAGATCTTGCAAGAGAGGACGACTAACTTCCTTTCCAAACCGATTTCCTCATTCTTATATTTATTAAAGCGCACTTTGAGACAGTGACCAAAGTTTGGCATAAGCACTCCATCTCAAAACCTAAATCCACATCAAACAAACATTTAATGGTGGGCTAGCCAAGCAGAGAAAATCTAATATATATGTTGTTGCAGGCCCTCCTCTTCCTATAAATCTAATTCCTTCTCCTCTTTTCCTTTTTCTGATTCCTTATGGCCCTGGAATTTATTGGAGTTTCTGCAAGTTGGCTTGAACTGCACAGTTCTCTTTCCTTTTGCTTATTTAACAAATGTGCAGTACCTTTCAGACTTGGGTGGTAAAGCGGAGACAATAAACATTTCTGATAAAAGTGTCGTTAGTGAGAGGATGATTTTTATCAAATGCTGCACATTGTCTCCTAAGACGGCATGTGAAAAAGATCTGCGAGAAGAGGTAAACATTTACTCCGGCAGCAAACTGAGCTCCTTTAAGAATGGTCAGCTTAAAACAGCTTATAACAGTCTTCATACTTTAATAGATTTGATTTTCCACATGGCTTCATTTTGTCTGGGTGGCTAACTGATACAATTTATACCTCTCTTCCTTTCCCAGGTCACTACAGTACACCATTCAGTAAAGAATGCCTTAAAGCCTGTCTGCATTATATGACCAAACTTCCATTCATTAGTGTTTGAAACACTTCAGCTGTGAAAGGGCTCCTAAATGCTACCATGTGTGACGCTTTTGCGTAAAAGCAGCAAACGGGAGGGGGGCAAGCCTACATGAACGGGCACTCACACACTCACACGAATGCACACACACACACACACGCTCTACCCTGTGCTTTAATCACAGGCCACTGCTTACTACAAACCCTTTGGAAAAGATTTCAAACATTCTCTTCCCCTGAAGACTGAGAGAGCTGTAAATTCTGGGAATAAACACACCTACAAATGAATGGAGCCTATCTCTCTCTCTCTCTCTCTATATATATATATATAGATGTATACATATATAAAACCACAGCAGCATCAAGTCATGAGATTTCACACCGGTTTTGTTTAGTCTGCTTTGGGTATGTGGGAAATGTGGAACGGATGAAGCTACCTCCCCTCTCCTCCCAACCCCCGAACTGCAGGCTTCACATATTTAAGCAGCAGGTTTATACCTCTTGATAGGCAACAGGCCACGACCCCCAGGTTCTTGATGGAGTCCTGGTTACTAAGGAGGATGTCGCATGATCAAAGCCATGGACAAAAGAAGGAGAGACAAGCCAAGGTTCAGCTGGCCTATGACCTTGTCTTGTCACTTAATATTTAAATTCCAGAAAGTCACCAAGCTGTTCAGCAGACAGACACTCTTCATTCATCTCCAAATGACTCATGGATCATCATGACATGAGGTGTGGGCCGAGGTTACCACTCCAAAAAAAAAAGGGCCATCCTATAAAGGATGGCAAGAATGAAGAATGTTCTATTTCTCCTCAGGGTTAACCAAGGAATGGAACTCAATGAAGCTGGAAAACCTCCTGGATGTAATTATTCCATTTCCAACTGCTCCATTTTTCTATACTACCTGGAAACCAAAGTACTTTCAAGTCCAGAAGGATATAGAATTTTCAGGCCATGAACTCGCAAAGACCTCATAGTAGCTGGAATGTGATGGTTTTTCAAAAAGTTCTCAGAAACTTTGCTAGATTGGAGTCTATTCAAAACTCTGAAATACAACTAACTCAGCTGAAAATGATGGTTCCTCAAATTGTTACCTTTCATGGTTCTTAATGCCACCTGGAAAGTTGTTTCATTGCTGTATCTTCTGCTAACCTTGGCAATCTTCTATTAGTAGCTATCAGTTGTTTGGGCACGTAAGTAGGATGGGAAGGTGGGAATCTCACTCAGTCAAACTTTTGGAGGTAATGGGGCTCTTAAATGCCCAGAAGAGAATGGTGGTTTTCCCCAAATGTCTAGTTAGTGGAGAACTTTCTCCTCTTGGCTTCACCCTGACTGGCCACCCTTCAAAGGATGGCCTTGCCTCCAGGTAGATGACCTTGGGGGGTGCTTGGCATTTCTCTGAAAACCTCTACTGTCAGCAGGATAATGAGTGGCCTTTTGCTTCCTGTGTAGCTGCTGTGAAAGAACGTGTTTGATTGAGAGAGAGAGAAAAAAATCTTCCCAGTGACGAAGTCACAAAAGTATCATGGGCTGCTCTAAGTGTCATGGCCAGTTGGACCCCACAGGGAGCCCAGCTATGGTGTAAAAAAAGTAGAGAGAAACCAATGATGGTGGGAATAAGCAACTGTCTGTGATGTCCCCAGGGTATCATCGTTCCATACAGCATAGGTGGGAGGGAACCCCCTGAGACTCCATCCTCTTCACTAACTCAAAAGATACTGCTATTTATCATAGTCAGTAGCTTGCACCTTGAGATGTTTAAATTGCTTCATGTTTGCAACATATGACCAAAGGACCTTTGATCCTGCGTAGCCCCCCAACAGCAGCTTTGAGCTACAAGGAGACTGAAATTCTGCAGCCAAGAGGTACCCGTGTCTCATTAGGGGCTAGTCGGCAAGGTGGGGAGGCCAAACAGCACAGTCTGGTCAAGGAGGGTTACCCCTGGAACAGGCTTCAGGAATGCAGGATGAAAGGCCTTTTCAAAGCGGAAGTGTGCAGTGACATTTTTATGAGCACCAGCCGCTAAGGCCTCTAAACACTGAACAGCTCCCCGCCATCCACACAGCTACTTTACAAAAGACAACTGAGGCTACACCACACCGCAGCAAAAACACGGGAATTACTTTGGCAGAAAATTGATGAGAGGGAAAGGAAAGTGGGCAGCGTTAGAGAACCATATTTTTCTTATGACTACTGGCAAATTGCCCTCATTTTGCCTTAGTTTTTCTTTTGTTCACACACAAAAAAGGGATTTAATAAATGTAACCCTTTCATTGCTTTGGTTAAAATCTTGAAATATGCTTTGCACATAGCTCCATTCTTTTGATTTTGTTCAACAAAACTCAGGCGGCATGCACCTCTGCGTACTTTTTTCCACTAATGAATCTAGAAGGAGGAAGACAAAAGCCTGAGATTCAAATTTGTCCCCTAACGCCTGACGGAATTTTCAAGTGTCTCAAGAGTTTAATCATACAACTTACCACACAGCCACAGTGAGGGTTGCGTTGGAGGAAAACTCAATATTTAATGCGATAGCTGAAGCTCTGGGTTTAATTTTCAGATGCAGACTAAACAGCAGGTCGGCAGTGGAAGGGAAGCCAGTGGATTCTAAATGGATCCGAGAAATGGCAGCTCTCTCCAGGCAAACCTCAGGAGTTACGTCCCCACGACCCCACAACCCTTTTGTGTGTGGGAAGGCTTGCAAAGTCCCGGAAGTCCATGTTGGCTAAGAAGTCCTTACTTCTTCCCTCCCCTGTCGCCCCACACGAATAATTCTGCAACTCTTTTGTTATAAAATGCCGCAGTTAAAAATATATTTGTAATTTAGGCTGACTTGCCAATAAACCTACAAACACCTGGTGATCTAGAAAAAGTATTACAGTTTAATGACCTATCTCTTTTGTCATCTTAGTGTGTTCAAATCCTTAAGGACTCCGAAGGACACATCTGAATCTTTCCCACATTCACTACATCTCTAGGCTCGCTCATCAGAACTGCTCATCAGAACCGCAAGAAGGGTTCTCCCCCTCAGGGCAATAACCAGAGGCCAGTTTTTCGAGTTCCATCTGCAGCTAAGAGACCTGAAAGACCACAAGACTGAGTTTTTCTTATTTCCCTGTCAGATATTTTAATTTAAAATGCATTGGGACTGTTTCACTGAGTGGAAAGTGATTATTTCCTCCAACTAGGAAAACTTTATATCAGATTTGTACAAACATGTTAGATGGAACCTAGGTAATCCACATGAGCTTGCCAGCGCAAAAGATCCTGCTGAAAATGCAAGGCGGGAAAGAAGTTTTCCAAAAGGAGTCTCACAAAGTGAGGATATTTATGGACTTTGTACCCAGTCTCTATTTTTGACTTTATGTACATGGAAATGCACAAGTACCAGGACGCCCTTGCAGATGTCATCATTAGCTTAATAATACCATTTTCAAGTCCTTCGTGGGGCATGTTTAGGGTAAAGAAGCGTTAGTCCTATGCATGTTAGTCCTATGTGTCCCTCAAAACGAGCACCAAACCCAGAAATATATCAATAGCAGGGAAGTAACTTATTCCCACTGTGTTAGACCAGGAATGCAAATACCCTTCTGGCTGTCCTACAGGGTGTGAGAAATAGTGTGACAAAGCTTTGGAAGAAAGAATAAAAATCCTATAAGCCTTTAATGTGGAACTTTGA